ACTTGCCAAGTGATAGGTTTGCGAAAATCTTCATCAGTTACAAGAGTAAGAAATTGGTGATAAATATAACGGAGATGGAAACAAAGAAGACGAGTGAAAATAAGTGATAAATAAAATAAAAATAAATGCATTGTTTAGATGAAATAAAAAAAAATCATATAAAGAGATTGGTTGAATAAAAAATATATACTTAACGACTTGATTGGTCATTATATTTATTATGATTTAACTATTACACAACAAAAAACTAAACAATAAATATAAGACTTAAGATTTATCATGTAATTAGAGGTTAATACTATGTTCACAGTTATATGTAGTAAATAGACAACATAATAATAATTATTGTACATACATACTATACTCAAAGTATACGATTAAGCGCAAAATAAATTTAACCGTTGGTCGACATTTATATAAGGTCTGATTATATCAAAGTAGCCATCAACAAAACCTAGCCATTCAGGTAGAGAACTTTTTGTCTGACTCACGCCCGGTGCCACACACTAGTGTCTTGCGTGAATTCAAATAAAGACGAGTCTCTATCCTCATGTCTAACGTCATTCAATTCACGCTCAACATTATCCCAACTTGAGACGAATCTCTTTACTCACATCCAACACCACTGGTCATGCTACCATTGTGAGTAAAACAAAGACCTCTTTTTGAAGTCATGCCCGATACCCTAACAACGTGCCCAACACAATATCAATTTTCACACTTATGTAGAAATTGATTATGGCCATTCCACCTGAAATTTAGAAATCCTAACAACGTGTAGGGTTATAAACAACATATATACAACATGATGTCATCATCCAAAAATGCAACCCTAAATTACCAAGAAGTCACCAAATCATCACAAGGCACCACCAAGAACCAAAAGCTCAATAATTCACCATTCATCATGATTCTACTTAATCCACAGTAAGATATTAACATCAATAACTGAACATTCAACTTACAAATATGAAACTTAACAACCACAAAACTTTCATTACCTCTTAGGGAATCAAAACTCATAAGAGAAAAAGATAAGGAACTTTGTACGACTTCGACTTGAAGTCTTTTGTCTCCACAAGCTCAAATTCTATTTTATAACTTCAAATTTCAACTAAAAAAAGTAGGAAAGGAAGGTTTTTCAGAAGGATTTTGGAGAATAGGAGAATTCTCACCAACTAACTTCTCTTTAAAGATTTAGAAAAAATGATTTATGAGTTATTTATCAATTTTTTTATATATACTTTTCTAAGATAACTACTCTTGCCTTTGGTTTATCCATCCAAAAATCAACATATTCTTAGAGTTCCTTGTCTTCAAATGTCTTGACAACGTCTACCAGTTAAACAACAAAAACTTATAAAATTAGCAATGTTATAATATGTACTAATATTATAACTTTTTTATATTATTGTTAAATTATATCTGTTACATGCGATAAGATTGGTGCATTTTATAATATCTATCTTAATATTTTGTCAAAAATAAATTTTGTTAACTATGAGTTTGAATAAATGGTTAAGGATTCATTACAATTTTTTATGTTCGTGTGAGTCCAAATTACATTAATCTTATTTTCTCAGCTTGTTTGATAATTCTCATTAGGATGGTTCATATTACATCGACAAATACATGCATATTAAAGTTTTTTCTTAACTAAAATTAAAATTTAATTTATTTGTTATTATTTATAAATTTAAATATATAACTTGAAAAGTGAAATCTCATTTTCTCAACTCTTGATCTGGACACTCTCAATATTTTTTTTGAGATACATTTTATTTTTCACACTATTCCTGCAATTAACAATTTTTTTTCTTCCATTTCTATAATCACAAAATATCCCTCATTTACTTTATCATTAGTTGTATACTTATCTTCCTAATCACTTATTAATTTTAATTTATTTCTAAATATTTTTTAAAATTACCAATAATCAAAAGCAAATAATATCATAATTTAAATTATTCATTATAAATTAAAAATATAATTTATTTGAATACTATATATAAACTATTAATGAATTTAAATTAATTACAATTTACATATTAAAAATATTTATTATAAATTTTAATCATTTAAACATATACTAACAAACACCGATCAACATTAAAACTTAAACCAGTTAAAAAATGCATTTTCCAGGAAAAGACCATTTTCCTTAAAAAAAAATAAAATTAAATCAACATCCTAAGTCGGGGCTCATGTCCCTGACAAGTGGACGCACACAAACCACAACCCCAAACCAAACTTTGTTCTATTTTTACAGTAAAAACAAAATCGAAATCATGTCCGTTTATTCACTTCTAGCTTTTTTATTTCTAAAAAAAAAACAGAAAATTGGTGCGAAAGTTGAATGTCTGACTCTGAGCGAGCGATGGAAAAGAAAAGACGCACATATAAAAAAAAGACAGATATTAATTTTAAACCAAGGAAGAGGAAAGGTTGGTTCCATTGCAGAGACATAGACAGAGACCGAAGCAATTCATTCGGGGGTGGTGCGGTGGTGACAGAGGAAGAAGAAGAACCCTAATCTAACTATCCTCTGTCCCCGAAAATGAGCGGTCACATAACAAGGAGGAACAGTGCCCCTCATAGACGCCCTCCCTCCTTGTCCAAGAAGATCGATAACGGAAGCCTTAGCGAACCTCCCAGCAAGGCTTCTTCTCCGCCACCTCAAGAGTACCTTCTTCTTCTTCTTCTATCTCTTATTCTATCGCTTCACCATTTTTTTTTTTACAAACACGAACCGATCCGTATAAATCCAATTAAACCGTTTACGTTTAATTTTGAGATTTAGTTTTTGTTACCTGCTGTTATTATTGTTAATTAGGTTGGTAATTAGCTTAATTGTTTTAATTTGTGGTTACCGTTAGCACGTGGTTTTTTTCCCCCCCTTACGCAGTGACCTGGAAAAGTTTTACCACTGGTTGTGAGTCTAGTTGATTGAATTGAAGCGTGTTAATGGATATGGTTGGTGGGTTATTGTAGCGGTGTTTTGGTTTGATTTTGCTTGTTGATTAAATTATTTAGGTTTGATGGGGGAGAAAGGACAGTCAGGAAGCTCAGGTTATCCAAGGCCCTTACTATATCTGAGGGGACCACGGTTTCTGAAGCTTGCCGCCGAATGGCAGCTCGCCGTGTTGATGCTGTCTTGTTGACTGATTCAAATGCATTGCTCTCTGGAATCATGACTGACAAGGTTTGTGCGCGCTCGTGTGTTTTTGTGTGTATTTGGAGTGTGTGCATGTGAAATGTTACAAGCCTGTGTCTGTTTTTTGTTCAGGACATTGCTACTAGAGTTATAGCTGAGGGTTTAAGGCCAGAGCAGACGATGGTGTCAAAAGTAATGACTCGGAATCCTATATTTGTGACATCTGATTCGATGGCCCTAGAAGCTCTTCAGAAGATGGTCCAAGGTTAGCTTCATTCCTACTGTTAATGGCGTTGTTATTGTTTGATTTTAGGTATTGCTGTGCTTGGGACCTTGGGTGATTGAGTTCATTTCTTAAGAGAATGGATAATACCACGGAAATTATTTCTGCTGATACTAATTAATTTTATTACGTTTTGTGGAACACTTTTACTATGGCTGTCTTGTATGTAAGAAGAGGTCTCGTTAGACTGGAGCAAGGATGCACTCGATGCATGTGTTTTTGGACATTGGTGCTCATGCTTCATTATGATCACCAGAGTTCTAATATGACAAGGCACTGGAGTATTCACCCTAGATATAAACTAAACAAGATTGATATTCCCTTGCAATAATGAATCAGTCGTTTGTATTTATATTGCAAATACTATGGTATTGAACACAAAGTGAAGAATGATGTGTGATAAAAGGGTTTGTGACTTGTGACAATGATCACAAACAAATATAAGTAGACATAGTGATTTCCTTATGAGCTTATGCTATTGAGAGAAGTTGTTTGGTAAATTATATTAGAGATATTAGTATATCATCTTGATATTATTAGTTAGCCTGTCAGTTACAAGCTGTAATTGACCTGTCCATTAAGTTGGTTGGGTTATTTGTTACATGATGGGTTGCACCAGAATGTGATACCACAAGTAACCAGTAGCCATTGTGAAGATGACTGTTAAAGATGTTAGAACTGGCAACGTAGGCCTAAGGTAGCTTATGAAAGTTTGAGTTATGATTGACTTGAGAAGAATTTGAAGTGTGGGATAGAGAAAGGGGCATGGAGCTCATGTTAATTGACTGACCCATTGAGAGGAACCAACTTTGTTTCTAGTGGACCACTAAGAAGGTCTTAACCATGTTGGTGGTGCATTCCAACCACCATGTGATGGTTTTGGCCATGGGTTGGGCCAAGGCCAAGTAATTTGATGAAGATTTGCATTTATGTCATAATAGAAACTGGCATTGTGCCCGCTTTTGTGGTAGTTTTGACATTGAACTGAGGTACGACTGCTGGCCATTCTGACATCTGCAAGAATCACGAGAGCATTGAGGATCATAGGCCTGTTCTTGTGCTTGATCTTGTGCATACTGATCTTGATTGGGGGGGATTTGTGCAACATTAATTGAATGAGGTTCAACAAGAAAGGCCTTATTGAGTGTTTTGGTTCATTCAAAAGAAGCTTGTATTCAACTTCAATAGTATCACACGCTTTTGCATGATACTAAATGATGTAGCAAGAGAACTATACACTTTTAAAAGGTCTTCAAGATGGTCAAAATTTGACACTGGATCACCAATTAAAAGGAGCACATCAATGGTTGATTGGATGTGAGCTAGATAATCCCTTTGGTATGATCACCCTTGGTGATAGATTTCAGCTCAGAATGAAGTTGCCTAGATTCAACATTTATTTTGTGTGTGAAAGAATTTATGAATTTCTTCCCACACTTGCATGAATGAACTTGGTGAAATACTCTAGGAAGAACAACATTAGATAGAGTCGGTATTAAACAAGGGAAGAGCGATGAATCTTCTCGTTTGCAATCTGAATACACTTGGTTGACAACATTTAGATCCCTAATTTGCTCAATATGACAGTGAAGATGAATTATAGGGTTTACGAGAAAGTGATGAAGGTTGTAACCACATATAACTCCTTCAATTTGTTGTTTCTAGTAGTGATTTTTTTGTGTCAATCTTGAGGCTGATCTGGTGCGTGAAAGCAATGGAAGGATGAGTTTTAGGATTAAGAATTGCGTCGTATGGGGAAGCCATGGTTGGATGACAGTTAGAAGCTCGTGATACTATAATAGAAAGTGAGTTGATAGCTGACTCAGCAATCTTTAGAGACAAGTATAATGGACAAATCAGTTACAAATTGTAATTGAGAGGCTGTTAAACTTTTGGCAAGTGTATCAATTGTCGCAAGTTGTAAAATGAACAGGAGTCCAAGTATTGAATCTACATAGACTTGCACTGTAATCTAATTAAATGCTAATTAGGGAAATTTAGAAAATATTTATATGAAGAAAGCATAAAAAGTGAGGAACGTATTTTGGGGGTTTCAATATCGGAAAGCAGATTAAAGGGATTGTGAAATTAATAATAAAAGATTTCAGGGTTTGATTTCATTGACCTTCCTCACACCTATCCTTCTCAATTATTATTCAATTTCAGTAATTGTTATGTTAATTCAACAATCAAAGAAAGTATTTTAAACCTAATTCTTTAGATGAGAAATTTTAGGTTCCTTTATAAAAATCCCAATTCCTTGGTGAAGTTAATTAGGCAACTCACATTAAGATCAGAGGTCTAAAACGTTAACTAATAATTCTTATTCTATTCCTAGTAATAAGTGTTATTAGTGTTCTTGTCTCGATCTTAGTTTTAAAAGGGTTTTCCAACCTCAGATAAATCTATGGGATCATGCAGTGGGTGATCAAAGCAAAAAAAGCATTAAGAGTAGAAGAAAAACAATTAACTGAATAAAAAAAAGAAGAATTACATAGGACTGAGTAGCTACGTCAATCCCAACAATGGGTGAATCTCTCAATTCCCTCTAAAATGTAAAAAAATGTCAATTGTCTTTCTCTTTCTCTGTGTGTTGAAGTCTCTTTTATAAAATTTTGCATGAGTTTTTTCTCATCTTGACTTGCTTAAGCAACCCAAATGACTTGCTTAAGCAAGCTTGTTGATTTAACGTCTCCTTATGTTGTTAACTCGTTTAGGCGGCTAAAGTGGCTTGCTTTGAGAAAGAAGATGATTGCTTTGGACAGTCCTACATTTTGGCTTTGAGTGACAAGTTCTAATATGTTGATTAGCCTCTGTCTTGTCTCGTTCAAGCGACCAAAATGGCTCACTTAAGTGAGAGTTGATCGGTTCAATTCCCTTGCTCTAAGTCTTTAACTAATCCCCTCTTCTTCCTTGCTTTTCCTTACACTAAAAAAACATCAAAAATACCTAAAACTTAAAGAATTTTATTAAATAAGAAAAACCAATTTATAATATTTATTTTTGACAAGAACATGGCTCAGAAGCATAGAATATGCTTGATAATTGCGAAAATTGATTGAAAGATATGGAGAATATCACAGGCCAACTAATAATATCAATAGAATATACTAATATCTTTAATAGTTTAGATGTTTCAAAAGGTTTGCACTTCTTTAGTGTGTTTATCTTCGTACAGAACATATCCTAGGAAAGACTCTTTGTTGTGAGGTCATGTTTGTTCTTTTTTCGAGAAAACCCTCAGTTTGGTTTTCTGAAGTTTATTTATATCACCTCATTACTGTCATTAGGCCTCTAAAAAGTTTAGTCACCAAATTCGTCCCTCAAGATTCTTTTTGTCACCACTTTACTTCATTATAAGGACAAATATAGTGACATCTAATACCTTTTAGGGACTAATTTGGTGAAAAATTAAATCTGAGGGACTCATTTGGTGAAAAAATCTTTTGAGGAATAATATGGTGACAATTAAATCTTTGAGGGACTAATTTGGTGACTAACAAGGTGATTCTGTAACTTTGGGGGGACCACCTTGAGGGTTTTCTCTTGTTTTTTAGGTCACTTCTTGTAGGAGCCATGTCTTCTGTTAGCTATAATAATGTCTAGTGCATTCCAACTTTCCAGGTTTATTCTTTTGGAATAAAGAGCACAACATTATAATAGTGGAATAAAGAACATTATAATCATTTGTTTTTTCAGAGACATGTTTTAGGGAGAGATCTTCTATTATTAATGACATGTTATTGAACTATTGGTGACTTAAGCTCAATACCATGATCTTAGGAATACACCTTTCTTCTTTTACCTTCACAGTGGCATATCTCAGGGCCATAGAATTTGGTGATAAGTGATAATCTTATCACCTTGAACTATAAATAATTTACACTATTCAATTAGATGGATTAAAAGCTAATTAGTTGTTCATTTTCTGATTATCTATTCTTCCCTCAACTTTCTTGGCTCTAAATCCATGGTCTTAGTCTTTGTGATTTTCTTGGATTGCCTTGGTGATTTTATTTCATTCTTAACTCTTTGGATTGCCTCTCTCTCTCTCTCTCTCTCTATATATATATATATATATATATATATATCTATATTGATAGATAAAGGAAATACTTCTTCCCATAACCATTTTTCGTCTACACAATTGTGGACGATTATACCCTTAATTTTTAAGGGAATTTTTTCTTAGTAACTGTTATTAATCAACTTTAAATAACTGCTCACACTATTATATTTTATTGTTTATTTTACTTTTAAAAATATTTAGAAGCACGAAGTGCCTCTTTCTCCCTAGTATATATATATATACATATATCATTTTTTTCCCCCGTTATGTTATCTTCCCCCAAACCAAACAAATGGTGTCTGATTTGCAACAAAACCTTTACAACTTTTTTCCTTTTGACTATTACGACCATATTATGTTTCTCCTTTTTTCCTCCATTGCTATTTCTGTATCTTTGTCTGGTTGATACATGATGATACAAGACTAGGTTCTGTTTGTTTACATTTTGTATTTGTATTTGTATTAATTGAGGTATAGTCTATAAAGCAATCCATTATATGAGAAATGATTTATTTATTTTAACTGATAGGTAAATTCAGGCACCTCCCTGTTGTGGAAAATGGTGAAGTCATTGCTATACTGGATATCACCAGATGTCTTTATGATGCCATAACTAGGATGGAGAAGGCTGCGGAGCAGGGCAATGCCATTGCTGCTGCAGTTGAAGGGGTGGAACGCCACCGGCGTAGCAATGTATCTGGTAAGTTAACAGTTATCTTCACATACACTTCCATGCATATCTTTTTGATGTTAACAGTTATCTTCACATACACTTCCATGCATGTCTTTTAATCTTTATACCGTAGTTACTAAAACTGGCTTGACATCTGGTCCATAACAACTTAATCACTGGCTATTGTCAGAACCAGTCTTGATCTGCTAAAACTGGTGGAAACCAGTGAGTCAAATGGATCAGCCAGTTTGATGACGAAATGTTAACTGATTAGAGAATTCAACACAGTCACTTTTGCTTAGGTTGAAAATAGCTGTGTGATTTTATAGGATGAGAATGACACTACCATGCAATGTACTAGGCAGCAATGTGGGACTCCAGACTCATACTTGCCTATTTAATAAACTTAAATCAGAGGCAGCAGTGTAATAGGTGTTTTGTTTATTGTTATTATTGTATATTACCGATGTGGGACTAATGTGAGAGTGAGGCTAAGAACTTGTTTATACATATGTGGAACTAACTGTACAATGTCTTACTAAGGGAACTCATGGAAGTATGCAACTAATGTGAGAGTAATATTATCGATGTGGGACTTTTGTTTTATAAAAAATCATGTACCAAAATATATAATTGTTAGACATAAATCATTCATTTTCTTTCAGCTAAATAACTAAAACTTTTGATATAATTGGATCATTGTGACTTTAACGTTTATTAGTTTAAATAATCTATATATATTTTAAAATTATTTAAAATAAAAGAAAGTATGCTTGTTAGCCTTAGGATGAATGGATGTGAATGACTAATGTAATGGCTATATAAGCCAAACTCTAAAACCCATCATGATTATTGACCAAAAATCCTTAATGAATACTATGACTGATTTTTTTTTTTTTTACTAGTATTTATTATTATTTTTTATTCTAAATGTGAACTTATTATTGCTAATAGACATTATGATATTATGTTTCTTTCATATTATTTGTATGTACTATCTAATTATTACTATTTTATTAATATCGGTTCGATCATATCTTCAAACTAGTGACTTTAATTAATACCGATTGAATGATTGGTCCGATTTAAAAACCTTGGTTAGCTTCCATTGTTGAATTCAGAAGTTTTGTTTTTCTTTTAAATATGAAATCTATCATTTGGCATACTCATTAACTGACATGACTAATTCTGCTGACAAAATTGTAGGTTTTATTTATCTTTGTGGCTAAAGTTAGACACAAAGGATTTGATAGATAATAGAAAAAGAAAGATAAGGTGAAGAGAATTACCAAATGAGTGAATAAGTGCTTTATGTTGCCATTATTTGTTCAATTTATTATCTTTTATTTTTGTGTGTGTGTGTGTGTGATGTAAGTTTAAGTAAACTTACTTTTAGAATAATGTGTGTTACTGAGTGATGCAAGTTTAAGTAAACTTACTTTTAGAATAAGTGGTCTCTACTCTCTCTCTCTCACTCACACACGTATATATACACACACTTGGATGTTGGATGACATTACTTCAGAGGCCAACTTTTAAGGTTATCTTGTGAATGTTAAGCTAAGTGGATGAGTGGAGAACCAAATACTGTTAAATATGGAAGTGCATAAAAAACTCTGCTAGTTGGGCCATTAAATGTCTCTTTCAAAATATACAGTTTTAGTTTCTTCAAAATTGATGTGTGTGATTGCCATGTATTTTGAGTTCTCTTTTGTCGGTTGTGCTTCTCTAAATTTTTAGTGATTGAAATGGCATTTTTATTTTCATTTTTTAATGATTCTAATTTTCTGTTTCAATTACTACCATATTTTTTTCAGCTAATGCTTTGATAGAAACATTGAGGGAGCACATGTTCAAGCCTTCCCTGTCAACTCTAATGGGGGAAAATACAAAGTAATTTCCACATCATATTTTCTCGTGGTTTTATGTATTGCTGCAGGATGCTTTGTATAATCAGAAATAATTGTTTTACAAAGTTCTGTAGCTTTATGTTTCTAGGGTTGCTATTGCATCACCTGCGGATCCTGTCTATGTAGCTGCAAAGAAGATGCGGGACTTGCGTGTTAATTCAGTTGTTATTGTGTCCGTATCGGGAACCAAGATTCAGGGGATACTCACGTAAGATCTTTTATTAGAGACTTTATTCTCTTTCGGAAGTGGAGTATATAGAATAATATACATAATTGCATGTTTTCTTATAGAAGAATGCTCAGGTTTTGGGGTATAAAATATTGTTCTCTGGTAGGAACCTGACATTTTATTAAAGAAACTAGGGATAACAGAGGATACAACATATCAGAACTTCAAGGGTCTGCAAACCTCTCTTCCCAAAGGCCCCAAAACCTTTCTCAGTTCATGCCTACCTTACTCTGTCTCCCCCCCTTTCATTGTTTCACTTTCCCTCATAACCTTCAAATAATCCTCTTCCTGATCTCTCTCCCAACCTGCCGCATGGACAGGAGGTAACAGTGTTGTCCCATGCTGATTTTCCCAACCGCCTACTTCCCAAGTTATCCACTCCAATCCTTTGTTACTCATCCCATCCTGCCTAATTTGGACCTTAATCATTGTAAGATGCTTAACATTCTTTATGTTTCTCATGCAGTTCAAAGGACATACTAATGCGTGTTGTGGCTCAAAATCTTTCACCTGAGTTGACTCTAGTGGAAAAGGTTGTTATTTCATTTTATTATCTGTTTTTTGGAAGTGACATAAGTGGAAAGATTGTTATTGTGAGAGGCCTTTTCTTTTGTTTGGTTCTGATTTTTGCTAGATATTCAGAACTGAGTTGATTTTATTCTTGATTCTTCACTTCCTCACTTAGGTAATGACTCCAAATCCAGATTGTGCATCAGTAGATACAACAATACTGGATGCGCTGCATATGATGCATGATGGAAAATACTTGCATCTTCCTGTGGTAGACAAAGGTGACCTTTTCTTTTCCAATTTTGTAGACAGTCTCTTATTTTACCTTATTGTGCTGAGTGCCGACTATTGTTTCTGCAGATGGATGTATAGCTGCTTGCATGGATGTTTTGCAGATAACTCATGCTGCAATTTCAACGGTAAATTTCATGTTTGAGATAGATGTAAATTATAACTATATAATAGAGGAAGCAATTTTATTATATAGGTTCTATTTGGATAAATTTCTCATTTAGCACCTACATGAGAAGAAAATAAGAAGGTAAAACAAATTATGTTTCTCCCTTATCTTAAAATTAGCTTATGTGTAAAGATTGAAATGTTGAGGGATCTGATTATTCTGCCGTGAGGTGTTCATATGTACGGGTTTGTATGTGTATAGGTGATAGCTGTGTATTGCGTAAGGATCAAGCATCAGTTTCAGTGTCTGGAATTTACTTATCATAACTTTTTTTGAACACAAGGCATTTCAGTCTTTAATTAACCCCTGGGGATATCTAAGAATCTTTAATTTGTTACACTGTTTTTATTTCATTTTTTAAATGGAAAATGTCAATGTGCATATCTACAGCCAACTATTCTGTCTTGGTAAACATTCAAGTTGGGCAAAGGAGCATTGCCTTTTAGCTTATAGTATAGTAGTATTGATATTTTTCCATCTGTTTGGAAGATTTCCATGCATGTTGGATCATATTTGATTGTTATCTCCCTAAATAATCGGAATGTTGTACCTGGTTAGTTTTGTAGATTTAGTGGATTAGTTCTGTCGTCTTGCTTTCGCTACCACCTCACGTCCCAATCATTTATATCTGGTGGGGTGTGCACCTTTAATAACATTTAAGTCTGTTATCTTTTGTAGTAAAACTCATGTACCTCTTTCTTAACAGTTAATTACAGATACCAATTTCTGATTACTAAAATGTACTTTGTAGGTTGAGAGTAGCGCTGGAGCTGTTAATGATGTGGCAAATACAATTATGCAAAAATTTTGGGACTCAGCTTTTAATGTAGAGCCACCAGAAGATTCTGATACTCATAGGTACTCTGGTTTTGCATATGTTTAAACATAGATTTGTTTTTGTTCTAGTCCTTAAATTGGCCGATATGATGTTCTATTGCAGTGAAATTTCTGGGCTAATGACATCAGATGGGGCAGAGACATCAAAATCTGCGTATCAATCTGCAGGTTTTGGAAATTCATTTGCCTTCAAACTTCAGGATCTCAGTGGTCGTGTGCATCGATTCAACTGTGGTGAGTGACTGTCTTGGGTAAAGCATTGTGAGGATTTAACAGTCCTTTTTTATTCCCCGTCTTCTTGGATGTTAAGCCACAAACACAATGCACATTGATATGTGAACCTGGTTCATGTAATTTTTATCATCTTCCCTACCCCCTTTGATTCTTATAAGAACTTACCAGTATTGTATTGCTTTTTTTTGTAGGTACTGAACATCTAGATGAGCTAGTTTCTTCAGTCATGCAGAGAGTTGATGTTAATGGTGGAGAACGCCCTACAATTTTGGTGTGTTTCATACTACTTCATTTTCTTCTGGCTTTTGAGTATTGTATGGCTTTATTATCATGCTGACTTTTCCCTCCTTTATAGTATGTGGATGATGAAGGTGATAAAATTGTTCTTGCAACTGATAGTGATCTTGTTACTGCTGTCAGCTATGCTAGGTCTGCAGGGTTGAAGGTGAAGATATTTTCTCCACCAGATTTTTCACAACATTTCAATTTGCACCATACATTATAATATAAAGCATCTTTGTATTTCAGGTTTTGAAGTTGCATTTGGATTGTAGCAGTTCAACCAAAGCAACCACTCCAAAATCTTGTACAGCCACCAGACGGAAAACTAGTGCTTTGTCTATGCGCTCTAGTATTTTTGCAAGTGCACTTGTTGTAACAAGCATTGGCATGATGGTCTACTTAAAGCGCTCCAGACAATGATTTGCTAATTTGGGGAGACTAAAAGCAATAATGGCTCTGTAAAAGTTCTAGAGCACTATTGCCTTTTTAAAGGCTCATTACACTCAAGGAAGATATGTGAGGTTCTTAAACTCGAGTCTTTTTGTTTTGGGGTTAATTCTTTTTCCCCATGGTCACTCCAAGGTGAGTAGTTAAGATAGCCACTTATATTTTTTGTCTCTGATGTAATTGCAATCAGTAATCCCTCGTCCTTGTAGTGGGACTATGTATAGATAATGTCTTGGCATAAATATATTCAGATAATGTCTTGAGGCATAATATATTCAGAAATGACAAGGCGTTATTCATTTTTGCTCGAACTCGGGTACTTGCAATGTTGTCACGAAAATTCAGATAAAACTTGCTATTAACTTCCACTTTTCATCATCACCATAATGTTTAAATTCAGCTTTACCCTGTTAGTCACACAATATGTTTGTAAATTTTGTTGCTAAATTCTGTTGCTCTTGTGCTCTACTGGAAATCCCTTGAATGATAGCATCTTTTAGGTAGTACAGGATTTTTTTTTTGTTTGTTAAAGATACAGGAATCATCTTTAAATATGTTTTGCAACATAATTTTTTGTCTAAATCATATAATTATGATAAGTACGCATGTTTAATTTATTTTTTTGTAGTTATTTTAATATAAATAATAATGTTAGACGATTCAATGGATTGATTTAATAAATGAATAAATTTAGGGATGCAGACTTGAGTGTGCGTACGAAAAATGCTTTAAGACGAGGGTTAATTTAACTAATTTGGTCAGTCTCACCAATTTCTACATTATCCACCCAGACTTCCTCTGGGATTTATATCCTTCTATCAGACAATAGTTGCAGACTTTATTTATTTTTAATCATCCTTTTTGGGTAATGTTATATAGAATTAAAATGATTTCCTTTTTTGCGATCTGTTATTATAAAGCGATCCAGTGAACAAAATTTTACGTGGTTTGTTATTTTCCAATTAATTAAATAAATAGTATCCATTTACCAATATGTCTTATTTGGAGAGTAATAGGAATTATTAATCCTATAACAAAAATTGATAGTAATTTCATTTTTTGCAAGGCATAAGAAGTGATTGGAAACAAAAAAAAAAACTGCGAGCAAATTAAAACGCTCAAATATACAAACGGTGCACCAAATTCTTAAGAGTTCAGATTCTCTGCTGCCCGCCTCGGCAGCAATATTAAATGATTATATTTTGTTTTGTTGCCTTGTATTGTTACCGTTACAATGCAAGGTGATGATGGGCCCATGCCATGCCATCTGTCTCTGAAGCACTTTTTGTTCTCTTCCACTGTTATATTTATAAAAACACACACACACACACTCCCTCTCTCTCATCACACAAACAATGGTCGCCTACGGTGATGACATGCTCAAGGGATCATCATCGTGCGGATGCCAACAGCTTCAGCTCTCATCCTTTGTCATCAGAGATGTAAACTACAGGTAAGTGAGTCTAACTCCTCTATCTCTCACACACACCCCATAGGGTGTACATGTGTGTGTGTGTGACTAAACTAAACTTTATGTTTTTGCGTTGCATGTCACGTAGCTGTGGTTCGTGTGGTTATGAGCTGAACTTGAACTCGAGCAACCGCAACACTTCCCTCATGGACTCAAAGTCCATAAAGAGAGGCATCATTTCCTTCTTCTCCGTGGATGAGAGCAGGTTCACTCAGATCCAACAACTTCCATGGTCTTCTTGGATACCCTTTTTCAACTCCAAGCGCCAGAGAACCAAACTCCTTTGCCGCGGCTGTGGTAACCACCTTGGCTATGCTTACTCTTTGCCCTCTCAATCATGGGATGGCATCTCTGACGATTCTAGAATCTATGATATCAAACTAACCGCTTTGTTACCTTCCTCTTGTGAGGAACCAAGTCAAGGGTTAGAGGATATTGCCAAGTTTGAGAGTGCATCTTCTGCTGTGGTGTTCTAATCCTGAAAGGAAAGGGAAGATATACATTTTTTTTTTGTTTAATTTAAAAGTGTAAGGTCGGGGTTGTATGAATGTGAATTGTGAATTAATGTATTCTACTTTTTAACAATATTATGAAGATATTTTGTCTATTTTATGTGCTTAGTTGATAATATAGCTCTTGTGTACTCTGTCTAGCTTTATTGTATATTGTACCATCTGGTTATTTACAATTTTGAAATCGGATCGGTCTCAACGGATAGACTCCTCAAAGTGCAGCAGCAATGAACTTTCGCCTTCACCCCTTTTTCTGATTATTGCAATAATCTTCATTTCCCTTTATTTTCTCTCCTGCCCTTGAATTGATCAGTCTGTCCTATAATCATTTTGAATTGAGCATCATGGTAAATTAACTTAATTTGCCGGTATATATCATATGAGAGAACAGCAGAATACAAAAAAATTCCCTTGCTATATAAAAGAAAGAACAAAAGAAGAAATATTTCATTCTATGCCAATAAAAAATTTAGCTCCCAGTGGAATGTTACTGTTGACAAGTATTTCCCTCGAGCCAATTTGAACATAAGGAAACCCAAAAGCAACCAAGAATCATGTGTTACTGTAAGCACAACCAATATTGTTTTTACTCAACCCAATTTATGTCCAACTGTTTTAGTTCTGTATGCCATTTTTGTGTATCTTGAGAAACATTGGGTCTAGATGGAGTATTGATCTGAGTATTTACATCAGGTGATGCTACATCATCAACTTTCTTATCCTTGGCAAGGTTTCCCTGTCTATCTCGTTGTCTCCTCACCTTGAGGGAGAGAAGGCGAGAAACCTGATGAAGTCCACCCCACTTTTCCAGTGCACGTGCTATATCAAAGCGCCCTGTGGGAAAATTCCATTATACCAAGTTCAAAATGAAAGTGGGAATAAAGTTACAGCAATGTTATGTTATAAATTTCATCCATCTTTCTTTGCTAGACTTGAAACTTGAAAGTGAGCAAATTGTTGTTGTAAACAATAAAATCAAAATTGAGGAGAGTAGCTCCACCTACCTGCACGTTCAAATGACTTTCTACTAGGCATATATGAAGGGTCCATTCCCCAGCTCCTTTGAAATCTACTTATCTGCATGAACAAATGAATTATATTCTGATTGAAGATGTGAACAATGTTATGCTTATGCATGTTCCTATCATGAAATAACTTTTCATAGATGCATAACATTTATCCTTCATCATGTCATTGTTATTTAACTTTCTAGCTTGTAACTCTGGTTAAGTGAATAAGTGGTGAATAGATTTGTAACTTTTGCACCACACCTCATCATGCAAATTTTCAAGATTGTCCCAGTAACCCTTTGGTTTGCGGTGTTTGTAAGCCAGAGAGAGGTTCATTATAACTGCAATCTTTCTGAAACCACCCATGCGATTTATAGCCTTCTCAATATCCACTCTTCCATACAAACGAAGTTGCTTCCTCATTGGCATAAATCCTTCCTGTCCGTGTTCTGCAATGAATTTCAGGATTTCAGATTTTAGGACTTCAATATCCCTTTGTAAGCCTGGAACTCTCGGTCTTTGTTGAGATGAGCTTTGAGCATTGCAATCAGACAAGTCTTCAGCTGAACAATAGCTTTCCTCCTCATCTGCAAAGCCAGATGGCACAGTTTGTTGCCCTGAATTTGTGTTCTGCTTACATGCTTCCAAAATATTTGATGCTGAAATGTTCTCAATATAGTCTCTTATTGCACACAAGTTTGATGGGAGATCTTCATAAATGACCTGAAACAATGTTGTTAAAAGAAATAAATAACATTTCAGGCTATATCTGTGTGTATTGTTTGGAGTGACAGACAAGTGGATCAATTTCCTTCATAAGGTTGTATAGCTAATACAAATGTAAAACAATTCTCTCTCTCTTCTAAATAAAAAAGAGGCATGGATAAATGAATGCATCTTGCTTCCACTTGTATAGGTCAAACATACCGAGTAACTGTCTAGTTTAGATGACTGAGCTCCTTTCCATTTTCTATCAAGGTTATCTTAAGTGGACTATAATGAATAGAAGCACATTAACATTATCGAAATTATCAAGGTAAATATTAAAAGCAGTACGAAATGGATATATATCAACCAAATCAAATTAACTGACAAACACCTCTTCCATGATAGCTTCAGAAAGGAAAGTGTCTTTGCGCATTTTTGATTCCACTGAATACTTTAGCAATGTGTGATGATTTCCTAGTTGCTCAAAAGTCCATTTTCCGTGGAATGAATCAAAGTCCCCTTCAACCTGTTCAAAACTGATCTCCTCTTCTATATATTCACACAAGTCTAGCACAACTCGAGCATGAAGCACCATATAAAGCAGGCCCTTGCACCCTTCCTGTATATTGATTAAACTAGGAAATTGCATCAATCACATACTTTATGGATGAAATTGTATCACAATTTCATGCTTGTATTAGTCACTGTGCTAAGGTGATACTTTTGTATTTTGATGACAGTGGGTGTAGGTAAAGTAATGGCTGGTACATAATACAGTGACCAGCAAACAAACTTAGATATAAACAGCTATGACTGATATCGCACTATACCTGGAGAATGCGGACTTTATTGTTATCTCGTGATAAAATCTTACTGATCGCTAAATTTGGAACTATCCTGCAAGAAGTGATTGTTTTTCAAATTAGGAAAATGAGACAAGACAACTATTAGATTTCATCTTAAAACCAATTGATATTAAATAAAGTTGTCCAATAAATATATAAGTTGCATTTCAAGAATTGAGGCAGATGACATAGTGTTAAGATATAAACAAGGTCCTACGTCAATAAAATAAAAAAAGAAATAACAACTTCTAAAATACATACATATTTCAATGATTGAGACCTTTTGAATGATAACTAAAAGCAAAACGGTGAGAGCTATGTGATATACAAAGATAGATTCCGGCCGCATAAAAGATTAGGTCCCTTGTTTAAGAGGAGGATGATTGTTGGGATATAAATAAGGTCTCACATCGATAATATAAGAAGAGAAATAACAACTTATAAAACATACACACTTCAATGATGAAGAGGCCATTTTGGTGATAACCAAAAGCAAAATGGACAATATCTTATTATTATAGAGTTGTGTGTGAAATAACCTTATAAAACCAACCAAGTTATAACCTTTATAAAATATCTCCTCACACAAATACCATAAAATAATAAGCCCATCACGTAGAACCTTCCAACAATAACATCTAGAGAAATCTTCTACAGTATGTTTTTCAATATATCTTAAGAAGAAGCAGACACTACTTACTCAGGAAGAGACTCATAGGAAGACAGGACATTCCATACATCGCGAACAGGAGCTTTAACAGTTATGCTTGCAAAAACGCAGCGATGAACACCTCCATTTTCCTTTACATGAAAATCATTTTATAGGTAACTTTGAACACAAATTTAGCTCATTATCATAATTAAGGTCACCAAATAACTATCTAGTACAGGTAAGTTACCAAAAGTCCATCAAATCTACGGAGGTGAATTTCATCCACCACACAAGGCCTGTCGAGTCTGCAAGTTTTTCCAAACACACCCCAATTATTGATGTTCACCTCGCTAGAAGACGTGGACAAGGAACCAGAAATTGAGCTGGCCAAATCTTCTTTGTTTTCTCCAGGTGACAACTTTTTATTTTCACTCAAAGAATCATTTATCTTTTTGGATGATGATCTATAAGTATCACTAGAAGTTGTATGCAAATGATTTTCTGGCACGGAAAGTTTCTGATTTCCTGAAATATTCCTTTCAACTCTATATGCCAAGGCTCGGAGGTTCACAGGAAGATCTGATCTGATAATCCTTTCCAACAAAATAGCTGGGAAATTGAATCTTGGTATAACATTAACTTCATAAGATAAATTAGTTGATGAAGATCTGCAAGAAACATAATAAAAGGATAAACTACGTACAAATATTGAAGTCACTAACAAATGAATATAGTTTACCTTTAAAATTCCTACTTGAACCAAGACACTAAAGTGACAAGACAATGAACAGAATGAAGCTTTCCTTTCCTTATTTGCTTTAGTAACCATACACTCGTTGTGCTACCAAGTGCATAATGCATTAATACATAATTTGGGGGGGGGGGGGGGGGGGGGTT